CAGAGCCCGACGCGGGGCTCGAACTCACGGACCGCGAGATCGTGACCTGGCTGAAGTCGGACGCTTAACCGACTGCGCCACCCAGGCGCCCCAAGATTTTTTATTTTTAAGCAATCTCTGTACCCAACTTGAACTCACAACCCCAAGATTAAGAGTCACATGCTCCACCTACTCAACTGGCCAGGTGTCCCTTCCTCAGAGTCATTTTTAATTAATATTTGTTGAGAACCTACTATATGTGTGATATCCTGGTGGGCACATTCACACTGTATCATTTTATACCCACCTTGTGTAATAGGTATTTTTCTCATATTATAGGAGAAGAGATTGAAGTTCAGGTAAATTAGTTTGTGATCATACAATTAGAAAGCGACAGAGCCTGAAGAATGAGGGATCGTCTTACCGCTAAACCCAATGTTTTTCAACTACTGTTTCCTTAGTTGAGGCATTATAATGAAAAGCACATTGGGCTAGGAGGTCTACAGTGCTGTTGGGAGGTATAATATGCATTATGGTCTAGTTAGGGAGGCAGGACTCAATAATATATTAGGTAACATTTATTGAGTGATTACGATAAAGCATTGGGCTAAGTGCTATTGAGTAGATTGCTTTATTTAAACATCACAACAATCCTATGAGATCACTACTGTTTTTATTCCTATTTTGCTGATGAGAAAACTGAAAGGGAGGTGAAGTTATGTGCTCTGAGGTCACAGAACTAGTAAATAGAGGAGGTAGTCTTCAAACCCAGGCAGCCTGGATCTAGAGGCCCTGATTTTTACAGCTATGTTATACACAGAAATATACCAAATAACATTTGCTGAGGCTCAAATAATGGTTACAGATAAGGGAGATCAGAGAAAGGTGAGATGCCCTGAGGATGAGAGTAGAGAGGAGGGGGCATTGCCAGAAATGGAAATAACAAGCAAAGGCCTAGGTTACCATGACAGGAACACCAAGAAACAGACAACTTTAGCTGCAGTGGAGTGTTTATGGGCATGGAGGTTGGAGATTCTAGTAGTCCTGCATTTCTTTTCTCTTTCCTTGGTCTCAGGGTCAGGGTTCCTGACCTTGGATAACCTTCTAAGAGTGGGAGGTTATAGGCCAGTGTATATGTGTTGTGCGCACGTGTGTGTGTGTGTGTGTGTGTGTGTGTCCAATAAGCTGATGCATCCTGCCCTCTTCTTGCATTGTAGTGTTTCACTTGTCTCGGAAGGTGACATCACTGGTCCCTGAGAGCTGCCTGCTGATTTTGCTGGGACTGGTGCTTGGAGGCATTGTCTTGGCTGTGGCCAAGAAAGCTGAGTACCAGCTGGAGCCAGGCACGTTCTTCCTCTTCCTGCTGCCTCCTATTGTGCTGGACTCAGGCTATTTCATGCCTAGCCGGCTGTTCTTTGATAATTTGGGTGCCATCCTCACCTATGCTGTGGTGGGCACACTCTGGAATGCCTTCACAACAGGTGCTGCCCTCTGGGGCCTGCAGCAGGCTGGACTTGTGGGTGAGTGACCCTAGAACCTGGACCAACCCCCTTCTCCACCTCTGGAGATCCCATATTGGCAAGAGCCATGCCCTGAGAGTTCTTAGGTCCCTCCCACCTGGAGTGCAAGGCAATACTCCAGATGGGCCTACAGCCTTCATTTAGGTCTCTGCCAGTTGAGTCTGGGCTTCTGCAGCATGACAGCTGAGCAGAGGCCTGGCTCCCAGCTGTGTGTGGGCTGCTGAGGCTGGGAAGCCTGCATTACTACTGCTGCCTCCTGCCCTCTGTTACCACACTGCCATTTGCCAGTCTTGCTACCTTGAGGCACAATTCACCATTCCTGCGAGGGCCAGCCATCCTGGCTCTGCCCAGGCCACATTAGGGTGGTTTTCTGTTATTATTATTTTTTTAATTTAGATCTATTTATTTATTATAATAATTTTTTAAGATTTTAGTTTTAAGTAATCTCTATATGCAACGTGGGGCTTGAACGTACAACCCCAAGATCAAGGGTTGCATGCTTTTCTGACTGAGCCAGCCAGGCACCCCTTTAAATTTTTTTAAAAGTAATCTCTACACCCAGCATGGGGCTCAAACTCACAACCCTGAGATCAAGAGTCACATGCTCTTCTGATTGAGCCAGCCAGGTGCCTTTATTATTTTTGATAAATCCATATTATACATCCACAGAATGCAATACATTACCCTGGATATTATATCTTTACTAATCGCATGGACTCTTTATAGCTACTCTGTTGGGGTATAATTTGTCCCATTTAATAGATGAAGAAATAGAGGCCCTTAAACTCATTTGATAAAGGTTAGCAGGAGAGGTCTGTTTTACTGAGGTTCTTTGCCCTCAGACTGCCTTTCCTGCTCCCTTCTTCCTCATTTCCTGCACCAAAATCCATTCAACTCGGAATGTTGATAATTCAGACTTCTTCCAAGGTACAAAGGGAGGTTTGCAATTTCTACTTGAGGCCTCCTACCTGGTTTTCCTAATGGGTGAGTGAACTCTTTGGGGCAGGAAGGGAAGGGAGGACATCAGACCATAATAATAGTACCAATAATAGTAATAATAATAATAATCCTAAAATAGGTAATATCTATTAGGTACTTACTTTGTGTTAGACTCTGGCTAAATAAAGGACTTTTTGAGGTAGATACTGTTATTATTCACAATATATACATGAGGAAACAGGCTAACAGAGATTCTATGACATGTTCAAGTTCTCCCAACGGTGGGTGCTTTTCCTACCGTACTTAGCCGTCACAGATCGACAGCCCCTACCCTTCCTGCTGAGTATTGTGAGTGTCATATCCTTTAGGCTGAGAACCACAAGGGTGGGAGAAAGCACTATCTCCCTAATAAAGCCAGTCAGCAGCCAATTTCCACCTGCTGGTGGTTCTTATTACTGTAGCTGCAGATTTTATTGTCAGTGCCACCTTAACTTTTCAGGTTATGTAGAGCTTTCTTAGCCATCTCCTGGGTTGATTTTGCAGCAATCTCGTGAGGTAGGCAGATGAGGAGGCATGGCTTAAGAGAAGTCATGTGACAGTGACAGCACCAACATCACAGAGCTGGTAAGTGGCAAAGCCAGGCCCTAGGCTCAAGTGTCCTGACCTGCGGGCTGATGCTGTGTTCACCATCCCAAGTCCTCTCTGGGTATCCTTGTTTCCACAGTGGGGGTGGAGCCAGGGCTTGTCACAGGGAATGCTGTGGGAAACTGGATACCTCGCCAACTGCTGTCCCCCATCTATCCCTCAAAAGCCCCTCGAGTGCAGGCCAGCTTGCTGGACTTTCTGCTCTTTGGGAGCCTCATCTCAGCGGTGGACCCTGTGGCTGTGCTGGCTGTCTTTGAGGAGGTGCATGTCAACGACACTCTCTTTATCATCGTCTTTGGCGAGTCCCTGCTCAATGATGCTGTCACCGTGGTGAGAGTGCTCAGCTGGCTGCTATTCCCTGACCCCTGTTGCCATTCTCTGACTAGTTGGGTGTCTGAGCATGCTCAGACCCTTCCCTGGGTTCCCTGGGTAAGAAATACCACCTCAGATTTCACCCTCTCCCAGTAGTCCCAGTTGAACCTTCCCCCTCCTTTCTCCTGACTCTCATCTTCTCACTCAGGTGCTGTACAAGGTCTGCAACTCCTTTGTGGAGATGGGCTCTGCCAATGTGCAGGCCACTGACTACCTGAAAGGAGTCGGTCAGTATTTCCCCGCTTTGGCTGGGTTGCTGAGTCCTGCCCCCTACTGCATCAGGACAGAGAAGGCTGTTGGGTTGCCTCATTCTCCTCTATAGAGAAATGGGGCCCTGAGAACCTGAGAAGGAGGGGCTTTCCTGGGATCCTGGCTCTGGGATCCTGACCCCTGGGAGTACAGTGGGCATTGTCCTCTACTCCCTGCCAGGCAGCAGTCTTATCCGCCCGGGTGGGGTCCAGGCCAGGGGTCACGCTGACAACCCACTCCTCCCCCAGCCTCCCTGTTTGTGGTCAGTCTGGGCGGGGCAGCCGTGGGCTTAGTCTTTGCCTTCCTCCTGGCCCTGACCACACGCTTCACCAAGCGGGTCCGCATCATCGAGCCGCTGCTGGTCTTCCTCCTCGCCTATGCAGCCTACCTCACTGCTGAAATGGCCTCTCTCTCTGCTATTCTTGCGTGAGTCCTGGGGGCCTTGCATGCAGGCAGCTGGGAGGGGGCATTGGAGATGGTTGCCCCTCACATGGACAGAAGCAGGACCCTAAGGAGGCAATAGGTTTCCCTGTGCCCTTGTGGTAGTGGGAGCCTCAAATTCCCCTGGGAAGACAGTAAACCTCACATCATATTTCAGGATCTACCTCTAGAACTGCCCTGGGCACTGCAGAACCTAGTCTTCCTCTTCCTGAAGTGCTCTCTGGGGTATAGGCTGAGCTAGAAGTGGATCTCAAGGCCTGGTGCCACTGGCTCTAGTGGCTACAGTACTGCAAAAGGTGCCTAGAAAGGATGCTAGTCAGAGCATGTTTCTCCCACCTTCCTCTCCAGGAGGCACTGAATGGGAACTTGGAGACTTGGACCCTTATCCTAAGACCCCCACTAGTTGTTCTGAGACTGTCTCCATGCCTCCTTGGGCTTCAGCCCTGATGGTCTGACATCCTGTGATGGGCAACACCCCTCCTGCAGCACGCTTGAACCCCAGAGGCTCTGCTTCTGCAACCCCTCCTTACTTGTCCTGTCTGTCAATTCCTCTTCCAGGGTGACTATGTGTGGCCTAGGCTGTAAGAAGTACGTGGAGGCCAACATCTCCCATAAGTCACGCACGGCTGTCAAATACACAATGAAGACTCTAGCCAGCTGTGCTGAGACAGTCATCTTCATGCTGCTTGGCATCTCGGCTGTGGACTCTTCTAAGTGGGCCTGGGATTCTGGGCTGGTGCTGGGCACCCTCTTCTTCATCCTGTTCTTCCGAGCCCTCGGTATTGCCAGCACCCTCTGCTTTCCCACTCTACTTCCTGCCCTGCCCCAGCTCATCTCCTAGTCTGAGTCCATATCCTTGTCAATTCCTAAGCCTCCCCGCTATTGTTCATCCTTCCTAGCCCCTGTCAGACCTTAGCCCAGATACTTGGTACCATCCACTCCTGGGTCCTCCACTACCAAAGCCCTGCTCCCACTGGCCTCCCTCCTGCTGTAGGCGTAGTCCTGCAGACGTGGGTGCTGAATCAGTTCCGGCTGGTCCCTCTGGACAAGATTGACCAGGTGGTGATGTCCTATGGGGGCCTGCGTGGGGCTGTGGCCTTCGCTCTCGTCATCCTACTGGACAAGACCAAGGTCCCTGCCAAGGACTACTTTGTGGCCACCACTATTGTGGTGGTCTTCTTCACAGTCATTGTGCAGGTGGGAGAGCCCATGAGGCTGGGTAGGGAGAAGGTCCAACAGGCCCTGGGGGAGGCATGGAGCCTTTGGGACGGGGCTCCTCTTTCTATTGGGGGATGACTTCTCAGACCTTGTGTGCAGTGAGGTGGAGGTACTGAAGCTGAGGCCTAATTATGGGGAGAGAAAGGCAGGGAACTGGATAGGGCAGGGCTCACCTGCTGCCTGTCCATAGGGCTTAACCATCAAGCCACTGGTCAAGTGGCTGAAGGTGAAGAGGAGTGAGCATCACAAACCCACCCTGAACCAGGAGCTGCATGAGCACGTGGGTACCAGAACCCCATCCCTCCACCTATACCTCTCTTCCTTCTATTTTAAGCAGAGTCCTGATCCAGTCCCCCTACCCACCCCCCTTCTAGACTTTTGACCACATTCTGGCTGCAGTGGAGGACGTTGTGGGGCACCATGGCTATCACTACTGGAGGGACAGGTGAGGGAGCTCCCCCAAGGCTCCTTCAGCAGCAGCAGACCCACCAGCCAGGGCAGCACTGGGGATGTGCCACACTTCTGAGAAGGGACACAGCCAGGCTTGGGCTGGGTGACCTCTGCCAGGAGCCCTTTCAGTGGCATCCCAGTACTCTCAGGATAAGACAAGTCTTCACAGTGAGGGCTGCCTGGCCCTGTGTGGTCTGGCACCTTCCAGACTCCAGCCTCATCATGCTGTGCTCTGTCCTTGACTGTCTGCCTGCTAATTACATGGACCCTGGTTTAGAAACTCAGGACTCATTGTGCTCCCCTACCCTGCCATTGGGACCTTGGGACATATTCTGTGTATTAGAACATTTTCTCACCTTCTCACCTTCTTAACCACTGTTTCTCCTTCAGATCTCACTATAGGCATCAAGTCCCTAGGGAGGCATTCCCTGGCCTTGCTGACTAGGACGAATCCCTATCATACTCTATAATTATCCTTTGTAGTTCTTGTTATTGTTGCAATTCTGGTTATTTGTAATAACTTCAACTTAATGTCAGGCTTTCCTATAATGCTGTAAGTTCCATAAGGGTGGGGACTAGCTTCAGTATTCTCCCTGGCTGAGAGGCCTATACCAAGAGAGCCAGGCTGATGCTGGCAGTGCCCCTACCTCATCTGAGGAAGGGCCAGCCAGCTGGGCCTTGGGGATGGGACTCAGGCCTGGGCCTGACATCTTCTGTAGGTGGGAACAGTTTGACAAGAAGTACCTGAGTCAGCTGCTGATGCGACGGTCAGCCTACCGCATCCGGGACCAGATCTGGGATGTGTACTATCGACTCAACATCCGGGATGCCATCAGCTTCGTGGACCAGGTGGGCCAGCAGCCAGTGGTGGGTAGCCAGCAGAGCAGGGCAGGAAGGAGTGACAAGCAGGTAGGACCTGAGTGGGGAGTTGGGAATTGCTAGCAGACTGGTAAAGTGGCACCTGCAGAAACCAGCCTGACCTGATGCTGAATTCAGAGTCTGGCAAGGAGTAGAGAAAGTTGAGAAACAGCTAGACTCTAGAGTCAGCAGATGCAGTTCAAGTCTTATCACTTACAGACTTGTGACCTTGGTTAAGTCCCTTATCCTCTCTCAGCCTGTTTCCTCTGTTGTAAGAAAGCAGGAAGAAGAATACATATGTCACAGAATTTTGTGGATTCAATATGTAAAGTGCGTAGCATAGTACCTAGATGATCAAAAGAACAGAATAAGTGTTAACTCTTCTCCTTTTTATTACCCTTTGACTGTCTGGGGTACCCTCAATCTGCTTGCTTTCTGACCTCTGTCTTGGCCCCAGCAGGGAGGCCATATCTTGTCCTCCACAGGTCTCACTCTGCCCTCTATGCCCAGCCGCAATTCTATGGCAGAGACATCTGTCACGAACCTGTTGTAAGTCCTTGAACCCCCCTCCATTTCCTCAAGCTCCTCTCTCTTGGGCCCTCTCTCTGCATCCCTTCTGGGAAAGATTTGTGGGCACTTTTGCTTTTTGCCCTTCCCCTGGCCTGTGCCTCCTGGCCCCTCCTTAGCACACATGTTCCCTGCTTCCTGCAGGAGGGAGAGTGGCAGTGGAGCATGTCTGGATCTGCAGGTGATTGACACAGTGCGCAGCGGCCGGGACCGTGAGGATGCTGTGATGCACCATCTGCTCTGTGGAGGCCTCTACAAGCCACGCCGCAGGGTGAGAGCAGGGAGGGTGTAAGAGTTCCAAAGGGGAGTGGAGGTGGGGGGCAGTTGGGGGACTGGTCTGGGGAGACCATGACTGCAGGCTCAAGAGGCAATTGGCACCAGCTAGTGAAGAGCTATAAGTGCCCAGTGGAAGAGCATGGGCATTATCCTGTAATAACATTTAGCTTTTTTTTTTTTTTTTTTTTGGAAAGGGTTGGGCTGATATAAGCACCGTTTAAAGATATCTTCTTCTGGTAGCAGAGCATAGACCAAATTGGAGGGGCGAGGTGCGAGGCTGGGAGAGCCAGTTGGGAGGCTGGAGTGAAACACTGGATCAGAGTTGGGTGGTGGTAAAGGAGAGTAGCACATAGGATTGAGTGGTTGTCTTGAGGAGGAGAGGAGGGGATGGACTACAGAAGGCTTGATGGGGTCACAGGCAGAAACAGAAGTGCTGAGGAAGCCTGTGGGACCAGCTTAGTATGGGGAAGGCAGACATCTTTTGTAGGTAGTGTTAGTCTAATGCAGGTCAGGAAGCTCAGGCTGGAATGGTCCAACCCATTCAGGAAGGAATCTGTTGCAACCCCACAAGGGGGCAGCATGCCATTACCTTGAACTTTTCAGAAATGGGAAGGCAGCTGTTACCATTCCTGGCAGTTTTAACAGTCAAGATTGTTTCTACGGTTGAGACAGAACTGGCTTCCTTTAACTTGGTGGCACGGGTTATAATTTGACTCTCTGCAGCTCTGCAGAATAAGCCTTCAAAGGTTTCAAGACAGTTCCTTTTCACACAGTCCTTCTTGCCCTCAGGCCAGCATCCCCTCTCCCTTGTCTCCCTATGTCTTCTCTGGTCATAAGAAACAAGGCCCTGAATGCTGCTCTAGATGTGGTTGACCACAGCAGGGCATAGAGGCTTTCTTACCTTTTTAGTTCTAGAACTTGCAAGTCTCTTCCCGATGTTCTGAATCCCTCCAGCTTTGTCTTACCACTCTGAGGCCCCAAAATGTCCTTACAATCAGGCATACTCCCATGTCTTCCTCAGTTAATGGCTATTCGACTCTGTCTCATCCAACCTGTGGGGGTTTTTGTTTCATTTTGTTTACTTTTTTCTTAAGGCACATCTCACTCACAAAACTAGACAGAATAAAATAACTGATTTATGCATTACTCAGCTCCCCTAATTATCGATGCATGGTTGATCTTGTTACATTCTGTACCTCTACCTCATCCCATCCACACTTTTTTATCTTAAAGCAAACTCCAGACATAGCATATCACCTCTAAATATTTCAATATGTATCTCTATGTGGCAAGAAGTCTACGTATACAATGCATGTATAAAATAGTAGTGTGATTATCGCTTATAACAAATAACAATAATTTCTTCTCACATGAAATATCCAGTCAGTATTCATAATCATCTTTTTTCCAGGTGGTTTGTTTAAATCAGGATCCAAATAAAGCCCACATTTTGCATTTGGTAAATATTTCTCTTTATTAAAGGAAAAAATCTCTAATACTTCCTTCTCCTTTTCTCCCACTTGCTATTTATTTATTGAAAAAACTGGATACTTTGTCTCAGGGAATTTCCCATCTTGTAGATTTTGCTAATTATATTCCAGTGGCGATGTTTAACATGTTTCTCCAACCCCTGTATGTCCTGGTACTTAAATCTAGAGGCCTGGTCAGATTCAGGAACATTCAGTAGGTGTGCTTTGTATTATGTATTGTATCACATCAGGTTGTACATAACCATTGGTTGTCTATGGATGTGTGTGCATAAGATTGGTCAATGGGTGCAGTTCAACCAGTTCTTATGTAATCAATTAGAAAACAAAACAAAACAAAACAAAACAAAACAAAACAAAACAAAACTGGAGTAAGACTGTGCTTATCCCCGTTAAATGTCATTTTATTTGATTTAGCCCATCAGTGCATCGTTTGGATCCCATGTCTGGCACCAAATATCTGTTCAGATTCACATCATGTGAAAATTTGCTAAGCCTGTTAACTTTATATTTATCCAAATCAACATAAAAAGTTGAATAGGATAGAGCTGAGGACAGAGCCCTGTGGCATGCTACTAAAGACTTTCCTCTAGACTGACATGGATCAAGCATTTTTGGGTATGGTTACTCAACTAGTTCTGAATCCATTTAGTTATACCATAACACAATCCATAATTCTTCATGTTCTTCACAGAAATGTTATCCGAGAGAGAGAGACAGAGTGTTTAGTATGGAGTTACAAATATGAGATTATAGTTTCAGAGATGAGGGCTGGAAATAAACATAAACAGTCTTTATTGTCAGAGATTTCCTCACCTGGAAACATCAGAATCCCTTGGGGGAGCTTGCTAGACTACATATTCCTGGCTTTACCTCCTGGAGATTCTGATTTTGTAGTGTGGAATGGGACTAAGAATCTATGGCCTTAATAAATCGCCCAGGTGATTCAAATGCAGCTGGTGTGATGGCTGCATGATGTTTGTGACTGGGCTAGCTGAAGCTGGGGGAATGGAGAGTTCACTGCAGAGAGCTTTTGGAGGTGAGACAGGAAGGCCAAGGACAACACTGTGAGAAATGCACATGGGAGAAAAGGAATGGGAACCAGCGAAGGAGAGGAGATGCGCAGTAGCAGATGGTGTCTTGGAGGCCTGGGCCAGAAGGACGGCTGGATGCTGCACAGAAGTCAGGCCAGCGCCTAACCAGAGATCATGCCATGGCACTGGTGACCAGGGAGAAAGCACTGTGGACTTGTGGACCCTGGAGTTGTATTTCTGGTATTTAAGAAAGTAATGGGTATAAGGGAAAGTATCAGAATCAAAGTATAAAAGTTTGGCAGCAAAAGGGAAGCAGTGGCCTTAATGAAAAGGCTTTCTTCAGGGGAGAATGGGCCAGGGGCATGCTTAAAAGCAGGGTGGTGGGCTGGTTGGCATGATGAGAGAAGGAGTGAAGGTGCTGGAGGGCCAGGAAATAGGAGGGAGCAGGAGCTGATGGAGGCAGGGAAGAGTGGGCTGAGCAAAGTGGAGGCCAGGGTTCAGGGTACGCCTGTGAGGGAGCTGGATTCCTGCACCCCCAGCAAAGAGGGATCCCTCTCGGTGATTAGGTGGGGGAAGGCAGATGGAAAACTTGAAGGGAGCTCTTAGAACTGGATTGGGGCAGCAGAAAATACAAGTTGTAAGAAAGGGTCGTACTAGGGAGGTGAGCCCAGATAAGGTGATTTGGACCAGATGGCAGTACTTCTTTTTGGCAGTCTAGGTCGGTATGTAATGGGCTTGGTCTTTGTGAGAAAGAGTGGGAAGGAATAGATGATGGGAGTGGTCCTAAATTGGGTGCAGGTGGCTTTTGGGATCAAAAGAGTCCAGGGTGTCAGGAGAGATAGTTCTGGAAGTCCAAGGTTGTTGCAGAAATGGCTGGCTGGAGAGTTTCTCGTAGAGGGAGAATCCTATATAGCTGGATAGGGGTGTGTGGGCCAGGCACGGGGACCAGGCTCCTTAAATGGAAGGGCAAAGAAGGAAATGTCCCCCACAGTCTCATTGCAGCCCCAAGGGACAAGATACAGGGTCCCCTGCCTCTTGTTACTTCATATCAGAGAAAATTGGGGAAGGGTAGTGTGGAGGATAGAGACAGCCAGATTTGGGGGGATAGGTTCAGTGATAAAGGGAAGTTATTCCCCCAGTGAATTGAGAATGCAGAGTGTCTGGCTGGGTTCCTTTTGTACTTTTTGTTTTTTTTTAATCCGTGGCTAGTTCTGGAAAAATGGGGCTGGGAGGGTCTATCGTGCACATGCTGCTATGGCCTGGTCTCCTGTGGGAGGCCAAGGCTCCTGGCCTCATGGCAGGGTGGGCCTGTCATTGCCAGTACAAAGCCAGCTGCAGCCGCCACTTCATCTCAGAGGATGCGCAGGAACGGCAGGACAAGGAGGTCTTCCAGCAGAACATGAAACGGCGGCTGGAGTCCTTTAAGTCCACCAAGCACAACATCTGCTTCACCAAGAGCAAGCCACGACCTCGCAAGACCAGTCGCAAGAAGGCATGTGCTTTCTCTGGGACTTCTGTTTGGGGCTGGAGGCTGATGGCACATAGTTTTGAGCTTCCAAGTATTGGAATCCAGCCCAGGGGAACCCCTAGTTGGTTAACCCTCAGAGTCTTGGTGGCTGCAATAGTTTGGGTTCCCTTTTGTATCTTCCTAGAGTCCCAGAAGGGTAAGGTGAGCCCTTTTGAGGGAGATCTGCATCTTGCTTTGTGGTCACATCCTGGGAGGCAGCAGGACCTCCTACCAGAAGTGACCCAGCATGAGAAAGGCAGGTTCCTGAGGTCAGGGGGGAGGGGGCGCTCCAGGAGTGCCTAATTCAGCCCAGGCTGAGGCATCCAGAGCCCTTGCTGGGGCATAGGTTACTTAGACTCTACAGTTGGCTGGGGGGCCAAGGGCTGATGGAACTACTGGGATTGATATAGATTCCCTCCCCAACTGTGTCAGGAAGACCCTACCAGACAACAGGGTTGGGATTTTGAGCCAGGGCCAGAGACTTAGGGTTTTTTTTCTTGGTCCTCAGAAGGATGGTTTAGCTAACACTGAGGCCACAAATGGGAAACCTCCTCGAAATCTGAGCGTTCAGGACACAGGCAAGCAGGGAGTGGGGGTGGGGGGGCTGAGGATGGGGTGGGGGGCAGAGGCCCATCAGCCAAAACCTGTAGGATCTCCTCTGTGCTACATTCAGTGCCATGGACTGAGGCTTCTTCCCTCAGGGACCTCTTGGGCTTACCTGATTTCAAAGCTGGACATGTTCTAAGCAGTTCTTAATTTGTGACAGGAGGTATCTAGTAGATAACTACAGGTTAGAGGCCTTAAGGACAGGGAGAAGGTGTCATGGAGAAGGGGGGAGCTTGAAGGATGGGTCACCCATGGGGCCCAGTGTCCTGCCTACAAAACCAGGAGTTTTTTGGATGAGCTGAGCATTGATGGGTCTTCCAGCTCTCCTGATGCTCATGTTTTCAGTTAATGATGGGGCTTCAGGGCTGAGAGAAGATGATGGAGGAGCTAGAAAGTATGACTTCCCTCCTGGCTTCCTTGGAGGACTCTGCTTTCTCTGGTGGCCTCCTAGGGCTCTGTAGCCCCACTTAGCTTCCTCTTCAGCCCCAACCCACTAGTCCAGTGCTGAAAGAGCCAGAGGATAAGGTGGGGAGGCTCTGCCAGCCGTGGGCTCTGCCTGGGTGGACAGGGAGCTGGTTTGGCGTCGTGCAGTACCAAGAGGCAGCTGCTGGGCTGGCCACCCCCACTCAGCTCTTGTCCCTGTCCAGCTGCTGTGATCTTAACTGTGGAGTCTGAGGAGGAGGAAGAGAGTGACAGTTCGGAGACAGAGAAGGAGGACGACGAGGGGATCATCTTTGTGGCTCGGGCCACCAGTGAGGTTCTCCAAGAGGTCAAGGTCTCAGGTAATGGCTTCCTCCCAGCCCCCCACCCCCACCTGGGGCAAGCGGGAGCTGTGCAGCTGCCTTCTTCCCTCTTCACGCATGGCCTTTCCTCCAGACAACTCCCTTTTCCTACTCATTTCTTTACCAACCAGCATTTCCTGAGCATCTCCTTTATATCATAAATCTGACATACCTGATCTAATTCAATCCTCACAATAACCAAGGTGGGGAAACTGAGTTCATAGAGAAAAAAGGGACTTAGGATTTGTCCAGCAACCCACAGCAGAACTGGAATTTGAACCTGACCCATCTGACTCCCAAAACCTACACCTTTTTCACTGCCTCATTGCCTCCCTTTACAGTCTAGCTAGGAATATGAGGTGACAAGCAAACCTAACACCAGGCTCTGTTGTGACTCATGCTCAGCACACCTGCCCTCAGGTAGAGGGCACCTGGTGAAAGTGGCCGCCTGACCTGGGGGAGGAGCCTGAATTCATCAAAATGGCATTATAGCAGATAAAAAACAATACATACATGTTTCCATATGTGGAGACCTAACTTACTCATATCATTGCTAGTTGGCTCCAGCATCCTCAGGTGTCGTTTTAAAATGTCTTCTTATAGAAAATAACAAAATATATAATAGACAGAATCATAAAGTTAACTGCCTATTACCCTGCTTCAATAATTACCTACTCCTAACCAATCTTCTTTCATCTCTCCCCTCACCTATGCCCCTGTCTTCACTGGGTTCTTTTGAAGCAAATCTCAAATATATCACCTTGTCAATAAATACTTAAGCATGCATCTTTAAAAGATAAGGATTCTTTTTAAAAAATACAACTGCAGTACTATTATTATATCTAAAGTCCCTGTCGTCAAATATCCAGTGTTCAAATTTCCCTGATTGTCTTAATATTCTTTTTTTTTACAGTAGGTTTGTTAAAATAAAAATCCAGATAAGGCCCTCACATGACATTTGGTTGATAAGTCTCTTTTAACCTACAGCAATGGTTCTCAAGGGGGTGGTAGTGGAGTGATTTTGCCCACAGGGGACATCTGGCAATATCTGGAGACATTTTTGGTTGCCACAGCTGAAGAGGTGCACTTGCATGTAGTGGGTAGAAGCCAGGGATGCTGCTACATACCCTGTGATACACAGGACAGCCCTACAACAAAGTATCTGTGTCCCATCTTGTCAGTGGTGTCAAGTTTGAAAAGCCCTGATTTACAGGTCCCCATACCTCCTTTTTCCCCTTCCAGTGTATTTATTTATTCATTATTACCTTTTTAAAAGGCTCTTCTTAAAAAATATTTATTTGTTTGTTTGTTTGTTTGTTTATTTATTTATTTATTTATTTATTTATTTATTTATTTATTTATTTTGAGAGAG